CTTATAAGTGAACTGTGATCCACAATTGTAATGAATTGTAATTTATCACAGAATACTGTTTTTTAATTGATTCACAGCCCTACTAAAAATATATACCAGTTTGTTTCCTGTAGGTATTTGTATTTCTACAACCCAGATTGAATTAGTTACATAGTTCTAGTTCACTTTAGTTAACTGCAGTAAGCATACAGACCCAAAGACATTTCCCATACTTGTTGAAAGCCACCCTGCATGGTACAGCTGTATTCAGTGCAATAACAATTAATTACAGTATGTGCTTTAACTATACAATGCATTTCCTTCGGTATTCTTGCATATTTTCTGCAAAGTTTGCTTGCTTGTAGAAGAATAAAATCTCTCAGCCTCTAGAAAGGTCCCAGAAGAGGATTACAGAAAAAGTGCAGTGCCTTTTGTGTCATTCTCCTTGACAGCTGCTTTTGTTCCAGTTAAGAGTGCTAGAGAGTTGGCCAAAGTCAATGTTCAGGGCTCCTCAATCTCCCACTTTGTTTCCAGAAAATCCACTATAGAGGTTGAAAATGAATTCAGTCCAAGGTATTTATCTCTCAGGACTCATGCTTGTGCATCATTTTTAAATGTCAATTACAGGACACGGCCTTTTGTATGTAACTAGGGCTACACTCAGACTGGAATTCAATGGATGTTTTTAAAACTTCAGAATGACAAAAATGAAATGTTGAGGTCAATTAACGTTTTTCCCCCATAAAATACTTAGTCCTGCTGTGTAGCATCCCTGAGCTTTTTTACCTGCCCAAGACAATGGAACACACTCACCAGCAAAAGCTGTTCAAGACTTATTAATGTCACCAATATGATTTTGGGATTTGGGAGGGGGTACTGTAGAGTAGCCAGATGAAACCCAATGAAGCATAGATACAGAATTCTAGCCTGCACTTGCACTCAAATCCAGTTCTGCAGTTGACAAATCTTATGCTGGGCAAAGCTTTTGGGTTTACTGAATATGAATAAATATGGCAGTTTGAAAGATGCTTGTTTCATAACCTAAAACTCTATTGCTGAAGCAATTGTTGACCCTTCTACTACACCATGACAACATCACTGAACTGAGGGTTATAAAGTTACAGGTTGATTTTTAAACAGTAATATTATAGCAAGTCAACATCTTCTGTTTTAGGAACCAGGCTTTTTAAACAGGGTTTCTGTTCCACCTCTCTTGGAATGATGCATATTGCTAAGGTGTCTGATTTACTCACTTAGACATATAAAAGCTGCTTCCCCAGACCCGTGTACTGTCTGATGTGAGAGAAAATGGCCAAATTGGGCCTGGATGCTGCCCCCCACTGATTCATGGCTCCCAGCTCCCATGGTGCAGCTGGACCTCAGGATTTAAAGGTCACCCTTAATTTTGTCGGGAAAGTTGAAGTCCTTTCTAATCTCGTGGCAGCTATGAAATCTTGTTCCAAACTTTTGGCTCAGTTTACCAGCACACTGGATAAGTGTATCTGATCTGATGAAGTTTGAAGTTACCCTTGGAGCGTTGGGACCCCACCACAGTTTCTGCTAAAATTTTTAAACAATAGCAGACCTTCTCTTGGGTTGATTTTTTTCTTTTTCTGCCATTTTGATTGGTTTATTCATCCTGATTAATAACAACAAAAACAAACAGGAATCTCAAAACATAAATTTTTTAATTATTAAGCAGGTAGAACAAACCAGTGAAAATTGTCAAAACGTCTGTTACAGACAGCTGAATCATCACTTTAATAATCGAGTTGTCGTAATGCATCTTTCCAAGCAGCTCTGGTTTTGCACGAATGGTGAATGGTGGGATTTAAACTACAGGTTTTTCACTCAGAGCTAATATACAGTATGAAAGTATGCCATGAATCTGACGCTGAAATAAGACTTTTCTTCCATGAAGAAGTTCAATTTAGATTCTTATGATCTGTCCTGAGTAGCTTACAGCATGCAACCAATGATATGCGGTTGTTGCACAAGTGATAAAATTAAGATGAAGCAAATAAAAGTTTGAAATCTCGAAGGTAAGCCTAGTGTCACGAACGCCGACCGGGGAAGCATGAGCAGGGAGACGTAAGATCGTGGAATGCGGGATTTATTAGAATGGTAGTGAAAAGGAACAGGCAACAAACGCAGAGCAACAATGCATTGACCGGACTGGGGAAACACACTTTAACGCAGACTTATATACACAGGACTAATTGACAACAAAGAGAAACAGCTGGTAAACACGGGGAATCCACACGAGGTTAATGAGGGGGTGTGGCACACGGAAGGAGCGGACGATTGGGGCAGGACACCTAGTTCCTTTGTAAACCTTGTGCTCGCTCTGTGACATGACAAGTAGGGACAGACTTTGGTTTTTCAGTGCCTGGGTGTGAAGACTAAAGGGCTGAGTTAATGACTCATTCATTTCTAGCATTCCTCACATCACCACAAGAAAATTCCGCCACCACCTCCGGCCCTCTCCCATCCTACTAGGATGACTTTCACAGGTGTTTGCATCCCCTTTTGCTTGCAGATTCCCCTGCTTTGCAGAACCATGATTGCTGTTCAAGCTTGCTCAGTCCTATGCTGCCTTTGCCTGTCAATGCAGGCAGAAAGTACCATAAACCAGTAAAATTCAGAATTTATAAAACCCATAATTGAAAACCTAGTTTGTTCTGATGCACATGTAATGACAGCTTTAAACCACAGTCCTCAATTAATTTCATTCTATTTTTCCTACAGTTTTAACCACTGAGGATCAACTGACCATTCATTTTCATGCAGCAGTAAAATATTTGCAGGTACTCATTGAAGGACCAATCAGTAGGCAGCCTGAATTACTATTTAACAACTTAAGCAATACACAAAAAATGTATTTTATTGACATCCTTGTCTGGAATAATATCTTAGTGTAAACTAAATGTAAATTTAATGTCCAATACCTATCTTCCTAATAACCTACCTACCCCTTTCAGTCTTTTTTCCATAGGCAAGATTTAGCATGTTTTAAACTAATATTGTGGGGAAACAAAAGTTAGATTATGAATGAACATGTTTTACTTAAATTAATTCTCACAGTTATGCTTGCAGTGCACTTATTCATGGGTAATTAATTACATGCATATATTAGCTGCTTTGTGTTCCAGTATAAGTATTGCGAATGGACACAGACTTAATTTGTCTTTTTCTTATCGGGTTAATTAGCAGCATCACCCTCAAATTCATCTTATGTTGGAAAAAGGTTAAACATTGTAGCGCTCAGCAGACCCAAGCATCTCATCTGCAGGAAGATGTGGCTGCTTCCTTCTAACGGTGATGATCCTTTATTGATAGTCCTTACAATGGCCAAACACCACCATGGTTTACACGGCTGGCAGCAGTTCAGTATGCCACACTGCCCGATTGATACCCCCCCAGTGCTATATATTCATATAAAAATATTCTGAGGTGACGTGCTGGTCATAACAACATGTTTGGAGTCTTACTTTTGTTTTGGGAGTAATATTCAACTTGAAAGTATATATTTCTTGTGTTAGTCAAGAAATGGATTACTGCACTCAAAGGAAGATCCTAACAGGTCTGGATGCTGTTCAGCCAAATGGTCATTTCAATATTAGTTTAACAACTCTGCGCTATTAGTTAAGTTCTCCCCAAACGAGCTTAATGGGCCGAATGTAAATTTCTTATGTTCTTATGCTTTTTGTCTTTCCACTTCTTTTTGTGAAACTTTGCTGATGATCTTCTAAAAACTGCACTGTGTATATGTATATATATATATATATATACACACACACACACACACACACACACACGCACACACACACACACACACAATATATATATATAGACAGACAGAGAGAGAGAGAGAGAGCTTTCCTGGGACGTTTCATATCTCATGGCAGGTTCAAAGCTGTCTTTCACACAGTATGAATTGACCTCCTAAGCTCAGCAAGCTATGATGTATAGTCACTGGGCATTATCGCATTAAAACATTTGTATGGCTTGCTGAAATTAGTGCTCAGTTTGGGATGATTCAACTGAAATATATTCCCTTCTTGAATATGCCTAATGTGTTTTTTTGTTTTGTTTTCATTTTACTCTGGTCCAACTCGTACAATGTAACATAGCTGTGATGCAGTGGGGTCATCTTGAGCCATCCTGCTGCTTAGTACTACCACAACCCCCTGGTTTTCTGCATGACAATTTGGATGGAATCTGGCATCTCTCCCAGAATCGTGCATCTTAATAGTGGTGACATCATTCAGGCTGCTGATCCGCTTCTGCTCAACACCCGGCTGTCTGCAAATAGACCGTTAAACAAGCATTTGGGAAACTAAAGCATGATTTGTTCTCTTGTTAATTGGTGTTAGCTATTGATTGTTCTTCTTTACATTTCTTGTGCGCTCAGATCTAATACGAACTGGGAGCCATGCGCTCCTCATTCTCTACCTCCCCATTGAACGGTGGTGGAATGGGAGAGATCGCACACAGAGAAAGGAGCCGCATTTCACCAGGGGAACAATAGGAAGCTCCAGAGATTTTTGTCCAGGAACCCGATTATTTCAGAATGCCAAAATCCTATCCTGCCTTTAATGTCCATCAAACAACCAATTGTTATGTTGCCACTTTTAATTTTTCCTAACATTACTATGCAGTTGGTAAGAAAGAAAACTCAACCGAGATAAATGCCTTTTAGCATCATCAATATGAAATGACATAATGGACACAGGGTGCTAAGCAACATATATTCTGTATTTATTTTTCTTGATTGGGCTACTTTTAGTCATTTTAGCTAACAGTTTTATCCGCATATTGAATCAGTGATTATTTTTGAGTGCTAGCCCATTATGAGCAATAGGGCCCCTGGGCACCGTTTTTTGTGCATTTATCCGAGAAGATTTTAAAGATTTCATTTGCTATTGGTGTATCATTGCTAAAATGTACATAGCGGAGGTGATGATGTCTTTGTAATACGCTTAAACGTCTTTGTGCTGCTTTCTGACGTGATATTCACACCTGTATATGGAGTTTGTGTCTAGCTGTCTTTTAAAAATATAATGAAAATGGCTACTTAGATAAGTCAGGCAGTACAGCTGTCCATTCAGTCCAGCTGCAAGAGGTGGAGCTTGGTTTGCAGTGATTCTTTTTGGTGTCCTCGTGTTATTAGTGTAAGCAGGGAATACAGATTTGATTTAGCCATCAAACCATTATCAAAACAAGAAAAATCATACAAATATTACACACATACAAATATTACTCAATTTGTCAGTTTATGCTGTACTGACATCTCATGTTCATGGTTTTTTATCAAAAAACATAATCATAAATAAAGTAATTTATCTTGCCTGGATCGAAAAGTATTCCTCATATTTCTCATGCCTTTAATTGATCTTCTGTAATCTCTCAATCCGTCTAGGTGCAAGAACTGTGAAGCAAACTGTGATCTACTCTGTCACCTTCTGTGAGGGAACACAGGGAAAAAGTATCGGGTCTTCAAAGGCCTTTTCTATACGCCTTACGGCGCATTTGTAGAAACCTCAGAGTGTGGAATGCTGGTAGTCGGGTAGAATGAAAAAACACAAGGAGAAAGGAGGTTAACGAGCCTGCGACTCCGTATGTCATGGAGGTAGCACTTATCTAGTGGGATACAGCTTCCCTGAAGGAGACCTGCTCTCTTTGTTGCCGGCCCTAGTGCCACTGCTGCACAGAGACGGCTTTGAGTCTTATGGAGTAGGATCTTATTAGTTGAACATTTTTTAAGGACTCATTTACACTGGCTAATGAGGGTGGAGTCTGGGCGATTTAATAAGGCAGTCATTCGTCAAAAGGTGGGAGTGGGTACAAGGCTGTTAAGATGGAGGACTTTGGGAGGAGCACAAATAACCATGGAGTCGTGACAGGGACCGTAGAGGAGAACAGGCAGTGGATTTCTCATGAGCAGAAACGCCCCTCTGTTTCACAGTCTGAAGACATCATTATGATGACTTAATGCCTGTGTTGTTTTCTTTCAAATTGGATAAGAGATGCTTGTTTTTGGTTGTCCTTTTTCAACATGCAAAACTAACAGTGCTAAAACCGAACCCCCCCCCCCCCCACCATGAGCTTCTCAGTGGTGTTTGATTTTAGGAAAACTGTTGCTCTAAGATCAGGTTTTTAGCCTACTGTGCCACTCTGTCACTAATTACAGGGCTTGCAAAAAAGAAGGTTAAGCCCACGGCATTTTCTGCTTGCTGTAATTGCTGCTGGCAAACCTCGCCTGGTCAATTGCTTGGTACATTCCTGTAGGGAGGAGTAAGATCAAGGAAAGGAGCTTTAGGCAGGGATAATGTGATGTGAAAATGTGCCACACAAAATAAAATTGACTGATTAAAATTGAAAAGAAATAAGGAGCAGAGAGAAAACAAAAATGACAGATTCTACATACTGAATTACAATTCCGTGAAACTTAAACAACTCCTTCTTAAAAATCCACATTTTCAAAATTTCCTTGAAAGCTGCTGCATGACTGTGGTGCAGTTTCAATCACAAAACTGTTAGTGGCAACTGAACTCTTCAACCCACTTTCAACCCCATTTTGCTGTCATATGAATATATTAGGGGGGGTTATTGGTTCTGAAACCAATCCCCCCCAGTGCCAACCTGCTGCTGCAGGTGCAGCCTGTTGATCCCTCGATGGATGAATACCCCCAGTGCTGTATATTCTGAGGTGGCGTGCCGCTCATAACAGTGAGTCTCAGCTCTCCAGCTGCAGGAGGAAGAATTTTTCATCTTGCAATTAACACTATAAAACATGTAAACCATGAAAATATGCTATTTAAAGGCAAGCTGTACATTTTGTAAATATTACACATTACATCTTTTATAGTCTTCCAACTCCATGTGTCACATGACTTTTTGTACACTGGTTATTGGGTGATCATGCCTGTGCTAAAAGCTAGGCTAGTTCATTAGCCCAAGATGAATAATATCCCTGAGACTGCAGCCCCGCAGTCACATTTTGGTTATCCAGTAGGGTGTAACACCTTCCGAGACCACTGACTGCCAATGTTTTTCGGAAATGTTGTTCTGTTGATTTCTATCAATCTATGTATATATATCCTGTGTGTTTATTTGGGGGTCATGACTGCCATACAGTAAGTGCCAGACTAGTTTGTCTATGGTTCTGATTATTTTTTGAGTATCAACTAACAGGACGTTTATCATTCATTGCAGCTACATCGAACGGGACCTTGGAAGGGCTAGAGAACAGGGAAGGCGGAGTGTGCAGCAGTCACTCCATGAAGATCATCATGAAAGTTGGCCAGGGTGAGTTACTTCTCCTACAGTATTTGAAATCAGTGAAATATGAGTGACTACGGCTGTGGGTAGCTGTATTTAACCATGAATTTATTACTGTTATCTGTAAATCCTTGCAGGATAACTAAAGTCATATTGTATTATCATTTATTTAATCCTTAACGCATGCAGTAATTAGATTCCCAAATAGGAGAATTGTATGAGCAAAGATTTTTAAGAGGTATTTCGCTCTCTCCCTGAATGACTTGATGTCTAAATTTAAAAGTTCATGAAGCTGATGAGGGAAGGAACAAGTGACTGAGCGAGAAAAGTAGCACATTCAAAAAGCGTATTGGGACACACTTGCATCCTCAGTGACTTACCATGCGTCGCCTCTTTTTATGATGTCATCACTTAAGAGGAACCTTTTATGCAACGTCAAGTGTGGGTGTCACCAGAGGAGACTTTCTCTTCCGCAAAGGGTACTCCCTACTAGACTTCCACACACCCCCTGCAAAAGGGTGATTTCACCAAAAATTGGCCCTAGACAACTCACTCCTTTACATACATATATAGTAATATACAATATAACATACAAACAATATATATTATATATTGTTTTTAGTTTGGAAACTGGAGTCATCTAGTAATTTTACAGCAAGGAATCTAGAAGATCAGTTCAGATGTTGGAACAGCAAATTCATATCCATTTATTTTCAGATTTGGAAAACTTCCCTTTGTTAACAAACACAGCTACATTTTATATTCCTAAATAGCCTAACAAATCCAAATGTATTAGTGAATCTTTCTTGTTGACCTTCTAAATATGCCAGGAGGCTGTGATGTTATGTTATGTCATGTTGTTTCAGTCTCAGTGAGTTTTTCTGTCCTTTAACCACCTCAATCACTGTCCCCCAAAGACTAAGCAAGGCAAACTGCTGTGGTAAGAAATCACTGTCAGTTGAAGCCTAGCTACTGTTGTGAATTCATTTTTAAATCACATTTAATTGTAAACAAATAAATATGTCAATACTAACAGAAAACTTGTTATTGGAGCAGAATTTTTTTATCAAAGGGAATGGAGCCTCCATTTAAAACATCACATTAAAAAATACTTTAACATATATTACCTGCAACAGTGTTTATATCCTTTGTCTCATCACAAGTCAGATAATCTGCATTGTGAAATTGCAATCCATGCCATCCAGGATAATCTGTTTTCATTGTAATCTGGCTTCTGATTTACATACTTTTGGCTTCACTTGTATTGATGAATCACATGGTTATTTTGGCTATGTAGAAAGATATGGTAATATTTAGTGTTATATTTTATGCTAAATGAACATATAAAAATACAAACAATTATAAATAAATTAAACTATGGAGAATGTCAATATTTTGTAGTATGTTGATGTGCTCATTCAAGAGCATAGTGGCAAGGTTATTGGTTGATCTATGAATTTAGAAGTACTATGTGTTATAAACCTGCCCGTCTCCTCCCTGTCATGGTCCTAACAAGCTACGCCTATCCCTCTCGTTCGTAACCCTCATGTGGAAATCACTCCCAGCTGCCTCTCGTTAGTTCTCTGATTAGTCCCATAATACGTGCCTCCCAGTCCTGTGTTCCCCAGTCCGGTCACTGACTCTCTTGTTGCCCGTGCCCTTCCTTGTTCCACTCCTCCCATTTTGTGATCCCCGCAATCCCATTTATTTCCAGCCTCTGTTCTTTTGAGTTCAGTAACCCCCCTTTTGTTTTGCTACAACCCCTGCCCTCGAGTCCTTCGTCCTTCAAGTCATGACACTATGGAAGCTGAAAAGGATTTTTCAAGAGGAGTGGGTCAAATTTATTATTCATCCCCATTATCCTTTTAATTCATGGGTCTGAATACAGGTTGAAATAAATTACATTTAAATGCATTATTTTAGGTTTATTTATTTAGCTATTTTAGGTTTTATGGTTATGATATTTGTGTGTTGATATATTTGCTTATGATAACACTCTTATAATACTTAATATTTCAAGCTCTTTATTGCAAATAGCATTTGCAATTGCATCAAAAAGCACTGCACTTGATTTATAAATCCACATTAATGGTATATACTGCACTTTAAGTTTAACTATGTCCATACATAAAGCAAAAAGCATGCATTGATTGCAATAATGTTTTATTGTTGCAGACCCCAACACAGTACTCCCAGACCCAGTGAACACTGAAAGGCCGAGGAAAGATTACGAAAGCAAAGCAAAGGACTCCACCAACAGCCCAGCCAAGAAGAGACAGAAGGATATATCAGTAGACCAGGGCAGTAAAGGTGAGAACGTCATTTTTTTGAAAGATGGCCCACTTTCCAAGGGATACGTCTGGAAGCACTTACAATGTATAGCTCTGATTAAAACTGAATATCCAGCTTTTTTTGAGACATCATTATTGTAACAGAGGAGAGGATATAATGTAGATGTGGTTATACGGACACGCAAATATATTAGTTACATGAGCTACATTTCTCGGCTGAGGGAGTAAAAGCCAGGATATGCTTAGCATTCCTAAGTAAAAAGGCTCTCATCTGAACCGTTCGCTCCATCCACCTCGTTACACTGTAGCTGTCATTTTTCTATGACCTTGTGCATTTTGTTTTTTGGACCCATCACTCACATCAGTGTCAGCATTCTTTGGTTTTATAATTATGACCATGAAGCCCATAATGAGTCCTTTTTATTTGATGTGTGAACTTCACATAATTTACTGGTCACAAGAATGTCTGCTGCTGCAGTTTTTGTAATTAGTTTGACTGATAATCTATATTGACATGCTACTCGAGTCTGGTGAAGAAAAAATTAAAATTCATAGCTGTGGTGCTAAGATGGGGTTATGGATAACATTATCCGGCACCATTAGAGTCATTCAGGAAAATAAGGTATTCCTGGCATTTGCATTCTGGGCATTTTCATTTCTGTGTATGCTCTCCAAGGTTAAATTACTAAGCGAGAACTTTTTTTGTCAGACTAAGAAGAAAAATGTTGAAGTTGATGAAGGTTTTTAAAAAATCATTCTTCCTCAATCTCTGGGAAATCTGGGGGACAAATGAAAATCAGATGTGTAAAATATTCCCTCTTTCCTCCTTTGGGCTTTTGCCAAGATTCTCTGAGTGTGGTTCACTTTTGAATCAAAGGTTTCTACAGCCATTTTTATTGATGTTCCGCATGTTTTGAACTGTCCTATGTGTCCAGTTACTCTTAGGAAAGTGAAATGTTGCTGCAACAAGCAGTAAGGTAGAACTTGCCTAAGTTCCTTCATACCCCTGGGTGGAGTGGAATGTAATAAAAGAGTACAGTTCATCATGCCTGTCTGCACGGTCCTGGTATTGAAAAGCAGCCGAATGCATGCAAAGTCTCTTTAACCAGTTAAACCGCCAAAAATGTGCATACAAAATTGTTAATTGTTAAAAGAAAGAAAAAAACAGGATATTCCTACAGTTTTTGTGGTGACGTGTGGAGTGAGCAACATGCTAGAGACTTTTGTCAGTCTGCTTTTCATATGCAACAAAATAAAGCTGGAAACTCAGCCGTGATCAAAACAAAATGCATATACATAAAAGGCATTAATCGTTATATAGTTCTGGCCTCTCAGTACATTTATGGAGTAAGTTTCTGTGACAAATAGCTGAAATAGATTACACCCCTTTTACAATGACCCACAGGGTTAGGGTCAGGAGAGATAATGAATGTCTCAATTTTATCTTTATTGTTTCAAGTAAATTAAATATAAGGGACATAGTGCTATTTAAAATAGAAATATCAGTTAACAATAATTGAAATTTTTTACTGAAATTATGCATATAATCAATTGCATTGGGAAGAAGAGGCTGTTTACATGAATAATCTAATTACAAGGTATCCTGCAGTGAAGATAAAGCCTCAACTAAGATCTGTCTTTTAGATCAAGCTGAGTTTCTGTGAGAATTTCAAAGGTAATTTCCCTTGGGAACGTAATTGCATCCATTTTAACATCTCATCTGTGTTATATATATTTTTTTCTAGCAGAAACAGATAAACAAAAAAAATAGAAATATCAAGACATTTGCTTTAATATCAGATGCAAAAATAACCACTTGACAGCTGCCAAAGACTAAAGCATGCTAATAAAGTATTAAAGAATATAATGTAGCATGTCATGATCACAACCTCCAGCTCATGAACCTGCAGGTGATCTAACTTTCTATCAAGCTCAAATGAGAAAAACATACAGGTGTGGCTGATGATGGATGGATGGATTTATTTATTGATTGATTAATTAAAACATACTACTGAATTCAATCCATGATTTAATTGCTTTGTGGATGAAATTACAATGCAAATCTGCATGACTCTGGCCATGATAGATGGTTAGAAGATTGATGGATGAATTTTAACACACATCCTTGTCATTTAAGAGAGTTTAACCTTCATTGTGATAATAAATTGTTCTGTACTGTATTTAATCTTTGTTAATATACAAATATAATCTTAGAATCGCCTAGTGACAGATAATATACTTGTGATCTGCATACAGAAATGAGTTTGAATAAGGAAAGATCTTGAAGGAAATCAATTTAATGAATGCCTTCTTTTGTACTATTTTCAACTATTTGTAGTTTTATTTGCTAGTTGGTGTTATTTTGTTTTCCATTTTTCCAAAATAAATCATGATTATATGGCTCATATCTCAACAAAAGTAACTCTTTCATTCTTTCTTTTCTTCAAACAGATACTACCGACCAGGATAAGAAGTCCAAGACTGCAGAGAGCATCTTTGGTTCCAAGCCTGCACTGTTTGCTGCCATTGGGGCAGGCTGTGTGATTTTCCTCCTATTCATCATCATCCTGATCATTCTGGTCATCAAGATCAGGAAGCGTGCAAGAAAGCACACTCAGCAACGCACAGCGGCCTTGTCTCTCAGCTCGCTTGCTAGTCCCAAGTGCTCAGGGAATGCTGGCTCAGAGCCGAGTGATATTATCATCCCGTTACGGACTACAGAACACAACTACTGCCCCCATTATGAGAAGCTGAGCGGTGACTATGGCCATCCAGTCTACATTGTCCAAGAGATGCCCCCACAGAGCCCAGCGAACATCTACTATAAAGTCTGAAGTTTTTAGCAATGGTCCATATTCTTTCAAGGAACTTTCTACCTATAACCTCTGTAAAGTGATGGACGTTTCTGACAGCGAGAAGAGACAGCTAAAAATCTTGATATGACAGATATAGTAAAGACACTTTCACATTATTCTGGAAGTCAGAGAAAGGTTGTTTGACCCTCCACATCCTTTTCTTGTCTGGTTTCTTGCTGCATTATATCTGCAGATGGAACACCAGGATGGTCCAGCTTTTGAAACTACGTAGCCTTCTTTGTTGCCCATGTGGAGACTAGATATGTGAACAGGGTATTTAAAAAGACAAAGCCCTGCAATAAATGAGCTGTATGTAATGGAATTCATAGCTCAAGTGCAGCTTTCACAGGTCGCTCAGGGAGCTGGGCGCAGTGCGATGACAAACACCATTTATTTCACACTACAATATTTACCTTTGTTATACTGTATGTCAATTCATTGTCCTTCATCACAATAGCGTTTTTAAAAATGACTTTGTTTTTTTCCATGTTTCCTCCGCACTGCTTTTTTCCCCCCCTCAAAACATCTTATTAACAATTACTGAGATTTCCTTTGTGTACCAAATGCACATCTAACAATCCGTACAGTGCAGACAAATGTATCATCAGTACATGCTGCCTGCTGCTAGAGAAGAAGACGTTTGTGTCTGTATATTTCCCAACAGGCATGTAACTCAGGAAGCACTTACTAGGTGTGTCATGTGATCACCTCTTCCTGAAAATTAATTAATAAAATGTAATTTGTTCACACTAGGTTCTTGGGTGCAATTAATTTGAATAGCAATTACAAAACATTTCACAGCTGAACACCCAAATGCCAAAACCATTAATGTCCTTAATTTTTTGTTTCTTATGTTAAAATGTTACTCATGAGAAAGATTCTTTCATTCAAGATTGAGAAACATTCATTCATTCATGTTTCATTCATTCTTTCATTGACTATAGCAGGGGTCTCCAACTCCGATCCTGGAGAGCTACTATCCAGTAGGTTTTCTGTCCCACTTGGCTTGTCCCACCTGGTGTGGCTCATCTGAAGCCGGGTATGCTCTCCAGGACTGGAGTTGGAGACCCCTGGACTATAGGCTTTCCAAGTTGTGTCTGACATGAAACAGCACTCAACTAGAGTATTTGCACTACTTTAATGGGATATTTTTTTTATACTTTTAGAATTAAGAACCATCATTTGTTCACATACATGATATAGACTGTGTTTCAAAGGGCACATATTCAGTCGATAAGAGTTATTTTTCAAGTTCAAAGTTTGATTCACTGGAAACTGAGGGGTGTAGATGGTTGTTGACCATGTTGGCCTTAGCTGGCCAGATTCAGCCTGGGACAGCAGGCTCCTGTCGGACAGAATTGGCACGCTTTAATATGTACGCAGCTGCAAGGAGGACACAGGAAATGCAAAACATGTGTTCAGTGCCTCTCAGTGAAGAAAGAGAGTGATAAAGAAGAAATGAAATGAAAATAGTTTTCTGGCTCAATTCCAGTTCAAAGCCTTTTCAGCTTCTTGGGTAATTCCTAACTTTTCAGTGTCCAGGATTCATTTGGCAGGAAGGTTATTTCCTCAGTGTGAACATATAATATATACAGTGAATCCACCCACAAAAATGCAGTTATCAGCCAATTCTCTCTTGTAACCTGTTTCAGCCAATTTAAGAGGGAATTGGAATTAAGTACCACAATTAAAAAAATTTAGAGCAATATTATAAATAGGATTTTAAAGTAAGCTTAAAATAAACTTTAAAGCATATATAAACATCTAGGTCTTTTTAATTGCATCTGCTTACAAGTGTGTTGTAATTGTGTGTAGAGACAGCATTGTTTATAGAATTTATAAACCACATCTTAGTTCTATCATAGAAAGCATTGCTCTAATGATCGTTTTTTTGTTAACACCTGTTCTGTTTTAGTTCATCATTAACAAGACCATCTGGTTGCTTCAAGAAAAATGACCCTTATTTTCTTTGTCATAGTTCACTGAGCAGTCTCAGAAATTGTCCTTAAATTCAAGCATTTCTTTTATCTTTCCTGTGACAAGGTTAAGATTTTAGTTTGTTCTTCTGATTTCAAAGTGAGTAGATCAATGGCATATGAACTGCTTTGGGTTCCCACCCTGGGTACAATGTGAAATGGAGACTTTTCTAACTCAAGATGAAAATAAATCAATCATCATAATCATTATTATTATTTATTATTATTATTATTAACCACATGAACAACAGCAATAATAATAATAATAATAAAGGATCTGGAAGTAGATTCAAACTTGATAAGCTGTTGGACTTTAAATGCATATTAGGTTACAGTAGAGTGGAATGCTATACTTAAAAATACTGCATTTCATTCTCATCAGTGCAAGATTTATTGGGTTAAAATCTGCTGGTACACATATGGAAGGTGAAGCTATGTTTCCTAAACGCTTACATAACCTATATAAACTTAAGTATTTCATTAATGTGCCAGCTCGTGCAGAAGTTCGACTTGTTTAAATACATCAGGAATCTATTTTAATATGTGTTGTATTACCAGAATTTAAACTATTTTCACGTTCACATTTTTTCTAATGTATTACATGTAATGTGAAAGTGGAAAAAGGTTTGTAATACATTTATCATGTAAATCTTCATTTCATAATTTCAAAATTCCTTGATTTTAACAGAATATTAAACATTCATCATGAAATATAAAATACAGAGCAAAACAATTCATACAATTGTACAGCTTATTGAAAATGTGCGAATAACATTTTCATTAAAAAAAATTAAATTATTTGAAATTTTGGTAACACTTAAAGCAACCTTCATAATGCATTCTAGATACCTTCATAATGCATTATAATGCATTCATAAAATATCATAATGGTCAGTATAAGTCATTATAATGTATTACGAAGGTATTTATAGTGCATTATAGATGAGAGCTTCACAGAGCATTCATAATGTATAATAAACATGGTTATAACATGTTATGTCTTTTTATAAATAGTTATAGCTATGTCAATGTAATACCATATGAATGTATTATAATGCATTATGAAGGTATCTAATGCATTATACGATTGCTTTAAGTGTTACTGAAATTTTCATTCAAAATATTTGTGATTTAGTTTTTGCTTTTTATTTTTTCATGTATGTTTCTTGAGTGAAAAGCCTGCATTGTAAAATAATTTACAATCTGGCTTAATACATTCAAATAATGTAAATATGTGGAAAAAACTGAAATAAAATGACATTTATTAGAGCCCCATTTATGAAAGTTATCTAATTAGGTTTTTTAATGATGAATTTTGTAAATAACTGTCTTTTATAAAAGACGTTTTGTATAAACTTTTGAATTATTTTCTTGAAAACATTTTTGTTAATAAAAGAAAAGATTTCTTAGAACGGGTGTACAAGTGCCATGCCAGTTATTGCCATACTTAGAGAATTTGCACTACCTAGGAGTGATTTTTCACTTCTGTTCTAAATGACACGAGTTGTTTTGTCTGGGCCCAACCTCCATACTTCTCTATACAGTATAAGCGATTAAACTTTTTTTATCACATTGTAATGATGGACAGGTTTAGTGAACAACCAGTGGGAATTATCCCGATCCTTACAGTAGTAACCTAATCAGTACTGCTTCGGATCTCACCAATGAGTTATATTCAGCATTTGTGTTACATACTATCCTTAGCTTGAATGTTGTATCATACCATAGAAGACAGACATCATCGCCTGCCATTGTAACACAGTGCAGCCTGAAGACTTGTAGCTTTACTTTTGTCACTATGTTCTGATATTAAGTGAACTGGTTCCTTCAACATCAAAAGCTACAAGAAAGTGCCAACATGTCACCACAGCCTTTACACTGATGCTGCTTGTTGGGCTGCCAGAGTGAAGCATTGCCACATACACATTTACAGTTTTTAAACTGGTTGCCCACTTTTCTTGGACTAAGTAAACCTTTGTATGTTATCCAAACTCTGTTCAAGGTAAAGGAACATTATTATGTTTAATGGATTTTTATGAAAGCCCAGTAAATTTGTGTTCCTTTGTACCTGCTCCATAAATAGCTGTGCCTATATTTTGTTTTTCATGTCACATTCTACCCAACTTAACTTAATACCAATTGTAATGGAAAATTATTCCATGATCTAGCTTCAAAATCTGATATTGCATATTGATAAATAAATTTTTCGTATGGATTTTTTTTGTGTTCAAAAGTTTTGGGGACTACTTTTCAGTGTCAGCAGAAGGAGAATCATGCAATCAAAATGGGGCTTCAGTCACAGAATGGTCTACAACAAGGTATCAAGTTGGGTATCAAGCTGGGCATCATTGTGTGTTTCTTGGAGCAATAAAAACATAACTGAATCTATACAGTGGATTCAGTAAGTATTCAGACCCTTTTACTGTTTTGCACACTTTTTGTTGTGCATTTAATTTTGACTGAACAGAATTACAAATTTTACCTAAAAATATACATATAATGATGAAGGGAAAACATGTTTTTAGAGATTTTTGCAAATTAATTATATATTAGTAACCTATATAATCTTATTTAGAAAAGTGTTCAGACCTTTTGCCATGGTATTTCGAACTGTGGTTAGGTACATCCTGTTTGCTTTAATTCCCTTTGAGATGTCCTGAACATGAATGGAGTCCACCTATTGCAAACTGAATTGACTGGAAATACTTTGAAAAGGCACACATTGGGTATATAAGGGCCCATAATTTACACTGTATTGTCTGGAGGAAAACAAAACCATGATTTCCAAGGAACTCTCTTTAGATCTATGCGATGAAATTGTGGCACGGCGCAGATCAGGTCAAGGATAATTTCTAAGGCTTTGAGTTTTTCCAGAACCATGGTGGCCTCGATATCTTTGAAAGCTTGGCAGAACCCTGACCATAACCCTAACCCTAACCCTAACCCTGACCCTAACCCTTACCATAGCTGGCTGTCCAGCTGAATTGGGCATCCGGGTAAGGAAGGCCTTAGTCAAGGAGACGAGAAACAACAGTCACTCTAAATGTTAACTACTCTGTGGACTGTTTTTTTTTCTTCTTTTTTCGGTTTTTCCACTTTCTGTTGTTCCTTGTCTTCCTTTTTCCCAGATGTTCTTGCCTGTAATTCCACTGATGTGTTTGTGCTGTTGTAAAACTTCAATAAAAAGACACTGACGAAAAAAAGAGCTCCAACCATCCTGTGCAGAGGAGAGAACCTGCTGGAAACACAACCATCTTAGGAGCTCCCTGCATCAGACCGTCACAGCAGAGTGACAGGATGGGAACCTCTGTTGAACAAAAGGCAGATGGCAGCCGGCTTGGAGTTTGCTAAACAGCACTTAAAGGACTGACATCATGATGAAGAGGATTCTCTGGTCTGATGAGACAGAAATTGAATTGCTTAGACAGAACAGCAAGTACTATGTCTGGTGAACACCAGGCACTGCAGATCACCTGGCTAATAGTGTCCCTACAGTGAAACATGGTGGTGACAGCTTCGTGCTATGGGGGGGCTGGTCAGTCACAGAGAGAGGAGACTGGTCAGAATTGAAGGAAGGATAAATGCAGCCAAATACAGGAACGTGCATGAAGAAAAGCTCCAGAGTACAACTCAGACTGGGGAGACTATGGCCCACAGCATACAGCCAAAACAAGAGACAAGTCTCTGAATGTGCTTAAGTGGCCCAGCCAAAGCACAGACTTAAACTCCTTCAAGCATCTGTGGAGACACCTGAAGACGGCAGTTCACAGATGACC